CCCGCCTCCCCGACGGACTACCCGCGCCCTTATCTACCCCTATTTAGCTACGTATATAAGCCTTATTGTATCTAGTGTGTACGGCACGCGTTTGCACCGGCCAAACGCGAATCCCATTTGTGCCCGCTTGCCCTCGAACTTCTACACAAACGCGTCTCCTCTGCCCGAAGGATAATTCGAGGCACTGCCTAGTGGGGCCGAAGCCACTCGACGATCCCGCGAACCGACGACCCGTGACGACGACCGACCCGACGACGACCGACCCGACGACGACCCCGTGCACCCCGACGACCCCGTAACCGTGACCGCCCCGCGCTCCCCGCTGCTCCCGCCCCGATGGCACCGCCCACAATTGCGAAGCTCGCCGATGACAACTACGCCGAATGGGTTATCGGCATGGAGGCCCTCCTTGTTCGCAAGGGTCTCTGGGAGGTTACGAGCGCCCCTGCTGATGAAACCCGCCCCTCTGGCTCTGATAACACGAAGGCTGTGCGTGCCTGGCGTGCGAAGATCGCAGAAGCGCGCGCCGAGATTATCCTGAATATCGAGCCCACCCAGTACGCCCACATCCAATCACAAGACGTTCACGAAGTCTGGATCGAGCTCCGTCGAGTCCACCGCGCCCGCGGCTTTGGTACCCGGGTCGCGCACCGGCGCGCTTTCTGGCGCCTAACGAAGCGCCCGGAACAAACGATGACGTCGTGGATCGCTGACGTCCGCCGGGCTGCCTTCCGCCTCGAGGAGATTGACGCCTCTATCTCCGATGAAGACCGCATCCTCGTTCTCACGAATGGCCTCCCCGATTCGTACTCTCAGCTGGTCGTTAATCTCGACTCTACCCCACCTAGCGAGCTTACATCACCCGCTTACTTAACGAAGAGTCGCGCCAATTGTCCCTCAACCCGCCTCATCATGACTCCGAAGTCGCCCTCGCTGCTTACACGAAGCCCCGCACCCCGCTCGAGCGCATCACCTGCTTCAAGTGCTCAAAGAAGGGCCACTATCAGCGCGACTGCCCAGAGCTCAAGACTGAAGAGGCCAACTGCGCATTTTCGGCAACCGTTAGCGCCGATCGGCTTCTTGCCGAGAAGGAGACGGAAGCGTGGTAAACGCCCCGATTAAGGGGATGTATTAGACTTATCGTACGTTATCCCTTATTTGTGCGGACACAAACCCCTCCTTCCTTGCTCGCTGTTTCCCTTATCCCCGCCCCGTTCCATTTGTTTGTTACCCTTCGCTCGTTGCCCGCGCTCGCTCGAGGGGATGTGTTGGAATCCTGGCGTCAAGATGGCGAGCTCGCGGAACAAGCGCCACAGGTCCCGCCTCCCCG